AATATTTTTGGAAAATAATTGATTCAGCATGATGTTCATGCTTCTGCATTAATTTCTAGCAGATTAAACAGCAGGGAAAATCTCATACCAAGTTCAAGTGATGAACATGTGTCAGAACCTTGAGTTCAGCAAGGAATTCTTTTGAAGCTTGCATATCCATCTTCTTAATTGCAGCTTTCTACATAAAAGTTAATAAAGAAGAAAAATTCAACTGATTTTCTTTAACAAGAAGGAAATTTTAAGAGGAGACATGAGCAACTAGGGATGATGTCTTTTACTTCAAAGAGATAACTCATTATTCTTTGATTTATACACAATATTTAGGGATTATAATCATTCAAGAGATTGACATACCTCATTTCGAAGCTCTGCATAGTAAACAGATCCAAAGCCACCTTGACCAATCTTATTAGAAATAGAAAAACCATTGGTAGCTTTGGCCAGCTCCTCATATGAGAACTCTACTGACTTGTCCACTGTGATTCCTGTCAACCTTGGAGAAGCCACATCAACAGATTCTGAAGCCTTCCCCAAGCTGCTTCCTGAAACTAAATCCAGAAAATAGTTCACCTTTGAGCTCATAATAATTATAGCTCAATTTTTTTCAAAGGAAAAAAACCCTTAGTTTCAACAATATTACGAAAAAGTCATCACACTTCACTGATTATAGACCTTTACTTAAAATCTCAAGTTCTTGGAATGAAACAGGTTTTCACATTATTACATCAGAATCTCTAGACCAAGGTGGGACTTTTCCAATAACATCAAAAAACCTAATCTTTGACTTTCAATGACCTGCGTTGCTTAATATCAAGAAACCATCATCTAACAAGTCCAAGTCAAGCCTCAAGAATACTTTATATCTTACATCCCTTCCACCCAAAGGTCTTTTGGGGGTGAAGCATAGGAAAAATTAGTCATGCATTGTTGAAATTTAAGGTTGACTTGATCATGCATAGATTATCAAATCCTATTTTACTTCAAAATTTAAGACTTTGAACTTAGGCTTTTAAATTAGGAAAAACATGTTCAGTGTTAATTGATCAAGTTCATGAGAAGAAAGATTAGACGTAGTGAAAGCTTCATAGGCCTTTTCTATCAGATTTTCCAATACCCTGATAACAAATATCTAAAAACTGTAACTAAGTATTCTCCTTGAACGAAGAATGACATCTGAAAGTGTCTCAAAGTGCATAATAGAATCAAACCAACAAAACAATCCCAAAAACTTGAGCTTGAAACAAACAAAGTGTTGGCCTTTATTTATTAGTATCCCAAACAATACAAGGAAGAAAAGCATAGAGATTTACCTTGTCCAATATGAAGATACTGATCTTGAGATAGTGCAGGAAGAAGGGATGCTTCTTCCACTTTCTTGCTTCTATATAGAACAAAGTACAGGACAAGTGCCAATAGTAAAACCCCAAAAACTGCTCCAATACATATTCCAGCAATGGCTCCCCTAGATATTCCTATTTCAAACAGCACCACAAAGTTTCTGATTCTCATCTCATAACTTCCCACCGTTGTTTTTCTTTTTTCTTTTCAAATGTTGAGAAATGAAATTTTCATGAGACAGCATTGAAACAGTGCGCAGAATCCACTCACCTGATCTGCAAGAGGAAGGAAAAATATTGTAGCAGCTATAGATTTTCAGCTTAAAAGAGTTCAATAACTATTACTTTCTTTTTTCTTTTTACAATGAGATATAAATTTCAACTTACTTCATTTGTAGAGGTAAAAAGCTTCCCTTGTCATCTGCAAATGCAAATCAGGACATGAGACATCAATTGAATTTAAAGCTGTAGAAATTGTTATATGTAATATATACACTTGGAGTAAAAGAAATCTCAAAGAAGGCTTTGTGAATGTAATTTTAAAGATTGAGTTTCACACTTATTAATTCCTAAATGTCAAGTCAATGTTAAATCAATTCTAGCCATTAAAATGTAACACAAGTCTGGTAAAAACTATATAAAGGTTGGCCGAACCTTTTTTTAAATTGGCTGAACTATTGAGAGGAATTTAATTTCATATTATATTAATCATAATAATGGCTGGCTAAAAAAAAAAAAATCACAATATTGGACTGCGAAAATTGAGGAATGATTGGACCAGTTTAGCAAATATATACCAACCTATTTACTTTAACTAGTACAATACCAAAATAGAATCTTAATAACCAACGTGTAATTTGTTTCCAATTTGCTACTTACATGTCTTTTGCATTTGTTATCGTTGCTCAACCATGCATTTTATTTTATTCCTATTAATTAGTTTTGAATTTGAATGTAAAATGTTTTAGTTATTTGAATATAATTATGTCATATAAAATATGATTATTTCATGTCATTTATATTTCTACTCTTTGTTTTTAATACAAAAATTTGGTGAGTTGGGCCTAAAAACTCATTAAAGACATAATTTACTGTCAGTATCAATTCTCTAAACAGACCAATTTCATAAGTTTTAACTGGAATAAAATTGAGTCAATTCACTGACCCAGCCCATGGAATACAATTGAGCGGACTCACCATTGGGTCCATGACCCAAAATCTGTTATTGGTCTACAAAACAGGGACTCACTCTCTACTTTGAGCGAATTATCTCAGTTATTTTAACCGGATTTTGTCCGATTAATAAAAAAATTATAACATTAATATAATTGCTCCTTCAAAAATCAAAATGGGGTTTCTTGGTTGGGGTAAGTAAGGAAGGGAATATAAACTTTTAACGAAGTGGTAAAAAAAAAAATTTAATATTTGATTTGCTGATATTATTAACGTTGGGAGGTTCACTTTTAAAAAAGCTCAATAAAACTGAGTCAAACAATAATTGTGTAGTATGCCTATCATATGCCTATAAAAGCATTAAGCTTCTCTGTTAAAAAAACTTTATCTTGTATTTTTTTTTTGGTTTTTTTTTTCATGTATCCATAATAATATGTTCCTCCTACCTAAACTATGCCTATTTGTGCGGACTTCTTATACGCTGAAATTATATCCAATTAATTATTCCCATTTTGAACAAATAAAAAATTTAGTCAGTAATGAGCAGGTCCTTATTTTTAATTCATCCATTGATATATCCTAAGAAAGTGACAAAAACGGACCGATACTGACGTGTACCATTTTGTTTCACCACTAAAAAATTATCTTCCATTAAAGTATTTAATTTTTTCTCATTATTTAATGTGTAATGTCAATTCTATCTGAGGGAATATGCTTATGCTATGCCAGAATCCCTAAGGTTCCTTCTCTTAAATAAAATAAAATAATTAATATATAAAAAATCAAAATTCTTTACCTAAGAAACCTCCCCCGGGGGGGTTTTAAGAATAGGCAAAATGATATTAAAACATAAATAAAAGGCGAGTGACCATAAAATATTCCTTATTATTCAAATGATGACGTTAGAGGGAAAAAGTGCATGAAAGGCGCCCTTTTGTCTGAAAACAAGAGAGTTTAATCTCACAAGATTAATTTAATGATGATTATATTTTTTTAATGAAAAATAATAAACTTATTTCAAAATAATTATTTGTAACCAGTACTCTTTTATTTACAATTTTATAAAATATAATTTGTAAATACTTTTCTGCAATTTTTAAGAAAGATTGTTGTAAGCTATAATTATCATTAAATTAGTCCTTCGAAATTAAAGGTAAAGTAATTCAAATATTTTTGTTAACAATTTTATTTATTTATTTGACCTGGAACAATTTTATTTATTAAAATTATATAATAAACAAATTATATGGTTTTTTAATTTTTATAATTAATAGAAATCCCAATAATAACAAAATAATATGTAATGATAAGTTATGTGTAAATATAAAAATTAAAAAATAACGATAAGTATATATTGCTCATTTATTAAGATTTTTTAATAATTATATTTTTTTCTTGAGACTTCATTATATATTATAGCCTTTTCTTTTTTGATATGTACATGTATCCTTCTATTAGAGGTAATTCTGTTTTATGTACTATTGAATATTAAATGTTGATACCTCTCCTAACGAAAATTTGTACATAATTTGCCATATTTCGGGGACTAACCCCTTCTGTTAGATCTAACCCTGTTAATATATTATATAGCATTTCAAAGGATTTTAATTATTTCATGCCAAAAATATTTAGCTAGCTTAAAATAACCCAATTATATCACTTAATTTGACCCAAAATTTATTATTATTATTTTAAATTTATTCCCTTTCATCAGCTCTAAATTAAGATAAAAATAGAAAAACATTGGATCTAATTTGTGTTGAAGGAAATTAGATCTTTATTTTAATACTATAAACTTATTAAAATATTTTATTATCATATATTCATTTCGTAATTAATGAACAAAGATTACAATTTAAAAAAATATTTACAGTTACTGGCCAAAAGTAAATTCGCTAACCTTTGGCCGGCACAAACACTAGTCCACTCCCCGCGTTGAAATCGGATGCGGGATTATACCCCAGTATAATCCCCGCCGGCACACCGGTAGCCGCTGCTAGATCCGGCAAGTTGTCGCCACTCCGGAGTGGGTACGTCAGAAACAATCCATAATCCCTCGACACGTGCCTATCGCCGCACGAGCAATTGACGGTGACGTTAATCCCAACGTCCACCGGTATTTCTGTAGCTTCATACATGTTCACCCTCTCCAACCAATCCTCGGTCGTCAGGCTAGAAAAATCTTGCTCAGCAATTTTACGGTACGTATCCCCAGGCTGGGTTTTGTAAGTGAAAGTGTGACCTAAGAAGACGCCGTTCAAGCAATCGCACGTGAACGGCACGTTGATTCGGGTTGCGCTCCGAACATAATCCGGATTGGGAATTGTTGGATTGTATTTAAGAATCTCAGAAATTTGCTGGCCGAAGATTTGGCTTATGTATGTGAGATTTGCGCCTTCCCAGACGTAGTACGAAGCTAAAGCAAGCTTGCAACCAGAGTTACAGTAAGCTTCGACTCTGAGAATCAGAGTCAGAGGAAGAAACAAAAGACAAACCAAGAATTTGGTGTTTGCTTTTATGGTCATTTTGAGTTGAAAAGGAACGATGATGAGAAAATTTTGGGAGAACTTGAAGTTACAGCTTAAATGCAGAATGAGGTAATTCAGAGGAGAGAAGAACTTGGTAAGAGTTTGAACCATTCTTCCATTGTTTTATTTTCTTGTTTAATATTTTGTGGCTTTTTGTTCCGTCTTGAATCATTGTTTCGCTCGATTATTATATTGCCAGAGAAGTTGAATGATGCAGCTTCCATGAAAACCAATTGGATGGTGACTCGAAGTGGAAAACCTCAAATTTTATATGTTTTAAAGAACAAAGTGAGAACTATATAAGGAAAGAATGATGTCACTGTCTATCATCCTATGAAAACTTATTGATTTGTGAGGTCAAGGTCGCTGGATTATTATATTTGACGAATAATCCTGAACATATTGGCAGAACATTTTATATTAACTTATGCGTAGCTTTAAGCATTTACCTTGAAGCTCCTCGAACTGGCCTTTGATCAATTTTCTGACCCCTTTTTTGAGTAATTTATGGAAAGAAAGTTGTAGAAGAAATGAAGATTAGTACAGTCGAGCAAGCGAATGTCTGGGATTTGATCGTTGAGTATTCCATGACGAAAAAAGATGAAGGAGAAACTATGTGGGTGGTTGAATTAATTTGAAGGTCACTCCATCAAAATGCAGATAAAAATGGGATTTGTAGCAAATCACAAAATATCTCCAATGCCAGGAAGGAATGGTGGGTTCCACCATGAAATGAACTTTCGTTGAGAAGTGCCTGCCTTTTCCACATAAGCTCAGAGATATTTTCTGTTACGGATTGAAGCTTGGAGATATTTTTTGTTTTGGAGAAACCACAACCCACCGTGATAATTTGGGATTTCCGCTTCATCTTCCCATTAATAAAAGCCTTTAACTCTTAAAGGGTTTGTGCGATCAATGGAAGCTTCTGCAACTCTTGCTCTCTCTCAAATTCCCTGTGTTTATCCCATAAAACCCCACCACGGTAGAGTTTATCCTTTTTCTTCACCATTGAAGCGAAGGATTTCTCAACCCACCCCTATACACTGCCAGAAGATGTATGTACCTGGTGGGTCACTACTCTGTTTCTCTTGTCGTCTTTTTCTCTGAGTGGTGCTTTCTATTCTCTCGTTCTTTTTTTTTTTTTCTGTGCTGAGAAGAGTGTAAAATTATAACATGCTATGGTGAGATGATGCAGGATATGGAGAAGCGTCACCGGAAGCAAAGGCTGCCAAGAACCTCCACCATTTCTTCACCTACATCGCCGTTAAGATTATTTCTGCACAACTTCAGGTTCCAACTCCATGGACCTTAAGGCTTTTTTACTGTTTTCTTATTTCGTATATCTTCACGTATTTGTCATGGCTGACAACTTTACGTTTTTGACCATTGATACTATCTCTTTGCTAATCCACTGGATAACAACTATGCTATCATGAGTCTGTGTGTGTGTGTGTGTGTGTTGGTCATGTGTTAAATTCACAAACGGTTTCATATTAGACTTTGCGGTTCTTTTCTCGCCATACTTGCAGTAATACTCATGAATGGAAGTTAATTGTGTAACTTTATGGATGACCTCTAGATCCAGCTCATTTAAAAGTTTGGAATAGACTTGATTCATTTATTTTGGTCAAAAAAAAGAAAAGAAAAGAAAGAAAAGGCTTGATTGATTTATTGAATGAACGAGCTTAATCAGTATTTTAAAGTTCGACGAACTAAATTATCCAAACTTGAAAATTTCATATTTGGCTCATGAAAAATATGTGAAGAACTTGGATAATAATAAAATGTCATGTTATATTTTTAAAATATGTGATACACACAAATCGAGAAAATATATATTTATACACATATTATATATATAAAGTCATGTAAACTTTTTTATGAAAATTAATATTATAATCATTGAAACATAGTAATATATATTTTTTCGTACACAAACGCATACATAGGATAAAAGTTCATAATTTCTTTATTTAGTTATATTAAATATTATATTTACAACATCTTTTTGATGGGCACGGCTTATCTATTAAACGAGCTGAGTTCATCAGATTTTTTTCTTCTTCTAAGATGTAAAAAAATTAAAGCTCGGGTTTGTTCCATTTTAAAATGAACCAGTGCGATCATGCTAAAATTTGAGTTGGTTTGGTTCATTCCGGCTCTATTAGAATTGTTACTTCGTAGTTGTGAATTATATTACATACAAGAGTGATATTTTGATATTTTTATTTTGAAAGAAACAAAGTCAAAGAGTGAAATAATTCTCCCAGTTTAAAATTAAAACCTTATTTCCCAGAGAATCCTGCTTTCATCTTAAAAGTAACACTAAAAGTAACACACCATGCGCTCATCTCTGGTGAAAATTAGATGTTATGAAATATGAATTATAGCTTTTTTTGAATTTTCGTGAGAGAGTTTTGAATTACTATCACATGATACTCTGATAAGCTCGAACTGTTATTGTTATTGTATTTTGTGAACAATGCCATCTGTCAAAGCTTATTTCCTAAAGCAGAGCTACAATCGTGAAGCATACGAAGAATTGATGGAATTCTTGAGTAGACACTCTTTGAATGATGGTGACAAGTTCTGTGCCAGCATGATGCGAGAATCATCGAGACATAAGAACTTAGGTAAGTCCAACGTTGCAATCAACAAGTTACTCCAAAATCAGTTTTTCTTTGTAATCTCTTGCATATTTTTCTTCCACTGTGAACAAAAGTTATTCAGTTTTATGCCAAAAAAAATATGTTTTTGTCTTAGTATTTGGATTAATAATCTTTTGCTGATTGAAATCTATGGGAAATTAATGCTGGGCAACGATGATTTGCACCTGAATAGCTCTGCGCATACTGGAGGTTAGTGGATCTCTTGGTTATTATGTGGTTTTCAATATTCCCGTTTGCTAAACGCCGATTAAAGACTTTGATGTATAATTTTAGGTGAGATCAGCATATTGCAAACAGGACTTTGAATGGGACAACCTAAAGCGCGTTGCTGTGAAGGTAATTAATTAATCCTGCAAAAATTGTACATGTTATTTAGAAGGTTGATCTTGTTGAAAGAAAATTTATTGCCGATAAGTCTGTCAGTGTGATGAAGAAATACCCTCGTGTGTCTACGATCGTATCTTGATCCTGTCAAGGGTGGGTTGAAAAGTTTGGAACTTAAGGTCTTTTAAATTTCTGGAATTGTTCAAATCTAATTTAACGAGACTGAATTTTTTTATATTTATTTCCATTTTGAAAGACAAAGAATGTAAAGAATAAAGTTGATAATTTTTAAATCATTCAAATGAAATTTAGAAGTATTAGAGAAATACAAAGATGGCTATGGTTTCAGATTCACTTGGTATTTGATATGGACTGTCCAAATTAAAATCGAATAGTCCATATTTAATGTTATTTTTATTTTATTTTTTATATGTTGTCATTTATGCAGAATTTAAATTAAAGATAATTTTCTAATTATCACTCTATAAAAAATCTTTTTTATTTAAAAATTATATATTAAAAATTACACCTCAAATTTCACTGCAAGGATGAGAACCTCCCGCGTTGCTCATCCCTGCAATAAGCATGGAGTTATATATATGTAACTATTCATGAAAGTGGAGTGGTCTGGTTAGGCCAGAATCTAGTTTATCTATTTAGTTGCTAGTTGTGAATGCATAGTATTGTTTGCTGTCCTTATATGTTGCAGATGGTGAATGAATCAAACAAGGAGCTTATGAGAGAGTATGTCTCAGAAACAAGTCCTGCAGAAACTGAAACGGGAATATGATGATGCCTTGCTTTCCCTTGCTTTACCACAGCCCCCTCTGTTCTCTCATCCATATGTCCCTATATCATTGATATAGCCATGTAGAAGAAGACAGTTAGATATAAATGGTTGGGCTTCATATTTGTAAAGACCAAGTTCTGTATATAATATATATTGCAAGAACAGTTCACGTCTGTGTTACGAACTGAATTGATATGTTATAATACTCTTAAGAACCGCTATATATAGCCTGCTTGGTTGAAAAATGCCAATGTCAGATATATTTACATTATTTGATGGACATAACTCCCAGTTTATATATCTTATAAAACCTTAACCCAAGCAAGAAAGATCAGTGCCTTCCACAAACAGAGCAATTATTCGGTATTGCATGGAGTTTCCCTTCATATTACCAGAAACTTGGATTGGATAATAATGAGCTGCCGATTATTCTCTGGACGGATGTGACCAAATTTTACTAGTAACAAGCTTCTTCATAATCTAGACTTGTATGCAATTAAACCATCCTTGAAATGAAACGTTCCCGCCATATTCTGTTCAAGCAGACATCAAAATTTCTTGTCACTCCGCGACTCTCATGGCTGCAAATAACATTCAAGAGACTTAACAAGACAGAAGAACAATGGTGGAAAAGGTCAAGCTTAATAGTGGTGAGCTGATATGCAATCAATGAACTTTGCCTCCACACATATGCACAGCTGTTTATATAAAGAGATTCAACAAAAGTTATTACCTCAACAGCACAACGGAGATCACTCGAAGCATGAATATCACCAGTGCTGAAATATGAATGAGCGAATTCATTTATGTGCTCCAGCCTGAAATTAGGGTCAAATCATCGATGGAATGAAATTCACGCATGAATTCATACGATTCAAATACGTAAACTTCAAAAAAATTACACCACATAAGAGGAAGTTCAATGATCAAGAATGTAACATGATTTATCTTAGTCAACATGACACAAAGTAGGCTGGCATTTTATATAAAAAGGTGACTAGGGTAAAAGATTACCTATACACATAGTTCACCATGATGCCTCCACTTTGAGATAGGCCTTTTTCCGATCGATCAGCCATCCAGTTTATCCTCTCAATCATCTATTCCAAGTTGAGAAGCATAAAATTATTAATTCTGATAGAAACTAAAATTAAACTATTCCTAGGCATTCTTAGAAACAAGCTTTTAAAATGAAATAGTTCTTCACATCATGTCAAGTTTTCTATCATTAAGTTCAATACCCACCCACCCCCAACCAAAAACAAAAAAAAAAAAAAAAATCTCATCTCCTAATTAAAAATTAAGCAGAGTGGGTTTGCGCTTTGTCTACATATTCGAGTCTAAAGGATTTTCATCAGGAAAGATGTCTTAAGAAATTATCAGAATTATTCATAATCCTTCATTAAATTTTGAAATAGAAAATATTTAGATCAGGACCGCAAGTAACTTTTGGCTAGAACATTGAACCCCTTCATGAGAAGTTTGTCTGCTTTAGGAAAAACGTCTGTAAAGAAATCAGCTCATACCAGGTCGCAGTCAAAAGACCGTGAGGAATGTGAAAACATGCAACAGTAAATCACGTATTAAAAGGAACCAACTGGTTTCACAAAGAGAGTTGCCAAGAACTGAGAAGTTGATTGACTATTCAATGGGCTTGCATGACATACCGCTCCATTTTGCAAGTGAAAATTTGCTACTGAATCTAACGCTTTTCCTCTTTTCTTCTCTTGAAGAAGGTATCTACAATATAAAAAAGAATATATTATCTCGCCACTTGATGAACTCAGTTCAAGTTATCCAACACTCTTTTACATTCTTTCGAAAATCTGAATAAATAAACAATTGATGAACATAGAATACTGTAATATTCCCATATTTTTCAATCTCTCTAAAATGTTTGTGATACCTAGCACATAATCGCATCAGAAGCGGTTGTAATACACACAGCAGTTCTGGTGATTTGGTCCATTCGAGGTCTGTAGAAGTAAGCAAGTTGAACATCACTTCCATTCCATTTTTTCCGGTGGCAATATCTCTGCAGCTCATACAGATGTTAATAATACATTAAACCTAGTATAAGAACGTCCCAAACACCAATATTTATCATTCACTTGATGATAATAGCTAAAGAACCCATGGAAGAATTTTGAATGCTTCACAGCCAGAAATGTAACTCCTCAACAGCAAGAGTTCAAAAACAAGTATTCCCAAAGGATTAGCCATAATGAGTATTAATTGACTTAGGCTACTAAGGACCTCTGCATTTCGCTAGTACATGCATTGCATGCAATCAAGAGAGACTGAGAGTTTGGGGCCAGTATCGAAAGCTATTTCCAACATTGTAAACTCCATCATTTTGTAACGACCGCTTGTAGAGGTGGGCATCTTTTCAATGTATTCACCTTATTAATTTGACCCTTCATTTCCACTTTATTCAGTCCATCTATTTATATTAGCCCATTTCACTGTCTCCTTTCAGGCATGCTTCACAGCGGGTTTTGTTCTTATATTTTTTCTCCCTCTCACTGCTAAAAGTTGAAATTGAACTGTGCACAGCACAACTGGCCATGTACTAGTTACGTCCCAATAAAGACAACCAGATCAGATATCCACTATTCTCCAAGGATAGTAAAATATTGATCGTCGGGTAAATTTGGAATGAAAATATATAGAACGGTATGTAGGTTACTTTGATATACTCATAAGTGCTTTTTCTTCCTCTGGCTTAAGTATGTTCTCCCTAAAGGTCGAACTGGATCCCTCAGCCAGTGACTCTGACGTGTCTGATTCAGCAAGTATTGTTTGCGATGCTAGCTTGGATAGAAGCCACTGCATGAACCCTGGGATTGGACTGAGAGTCGCAAATGTCTGCAAGCAATAATTGATAATTGAATGGTAAAGCAAGATGACAATGATTTAGCATATAAAGTATGACAATAATGGAAAAGACATATCTTTTGTCAAGGAATGTCACGTGTTCAAACAATTGTTGGACTTGAGCATACATATCAGTCGTAGAATTTACTCTTCTATGATGAGGAAAGCAATATGTTAATTATGCTGTTATTGAAAAATATTGGCATATCATTTTGTTTATGGTATTCCCTTGAGTACAACTAGTCCGATAAATTTTGGTTTGGATAGAAGAAAAGAAATGAGGTAATAAATTTAAGGATGCAACCAAAAAAGTCACACGCATCTTGAAACTAGCATATTTCTCCATAAAATCCTGTGGCCAATTTATTCTATAATTTCTTCAGGTTTTAGCCATTTTCAGTGAATCAACCATTCCAATCCCCTTGCATAATAATATAATGGATTTCCTCGGCTGGCTGAAGCCCTGAATAACATTTCTAATTCAGAATGAAAGGTGCTTTATTCCTAGATGTGATCTTTACGCTAAAAATATTCATGAAAATACCTTTCGTCTCAAAGAAGAAGAAGAAAATTAAGGGTAGAAATTGCTCTCCAAAAATGAAGAAAAAAGAGTAGAAAGAAACACAATCAACAGACAGTGCTATATACAAATAGAAACTTTATTCTACTGCAGATATGCAATATTAAAATGTCTATGAAGCAAGAAACTTTACTCGATCACAATCTTCAAATTCAGAGCTCCAAGAATTTGTTAAAATACTTACAGAGATATGGGGCATCTCTCGTTTCACCAGTGTTATGACACGCTTGATGAGAAACTCACCTAGGTTGATCCCCGATAATCCAGGCTGCAAAATCTCAGAATTAGACCATCCAGCTATGTGAAAGAAAATTCTCAATATCTGGAACTATCTCCAGTATTTCGCTTTTCTTTTAAGAGACCAACGGCCACAGATGGGATAAATAGAAAAGCAAACAGATTTCATCTACCAAATAAAGCAAACACAGAGGTTTTTGGCACAAGCATAAACAAAACAAGTCAGAAAACATGAACAAAGGGAAAATTAAATCAAAACAGATAATAAGGTACAGCTCACATTTCACTCAGAATGATCCAACTAAACTTTGCCATAATATATACTAAACTTGATCCTACTGTGTTCCTTATATAGTATATGCCATACCTGAGTTGATGAAATGGAGTAGAATAATGCACAGGTTGCCTCACTTTCAGGTATGGGAGGACTATCCCACAAAACTTCCTGGGAGGGAAAAATAAAGTACATAACGTAGAAGGAAGGACGGAAGGAAAATGTGCTGCCGAAGGTTACATAAAGTCCAAAGAAAATCAACCTGTATAGTCCGAGCAACATTCTTAAGCAGCGCAACTTCAATGAAAATTAAGGGTTCTCCTGAGGAAAAACAAATCACACGTCAAATAATGTAATACATTGAAAGTTCATGTATGCATTATATGATAAACAACTCAAATTCATTCAGTCAGTCAGTATTTATATGCAAGAACGGTGACACCAAATTTAATTTCCATGTTACCTCACATAAGAACTGGATCAGAGAACAAGTGCACATGCTGACCATAAGCAACTATTGGGTGTATAGTATTAATAATTATTACTTGATCAGTGACTCATGTACTTTAGATAACACTGTCACCTATTCCTCAGTGAATATTAGTCCATTGGCTTTATCTTAAGACACAATGGTCATGCATGTAGTAAATCCACTTTAAAAGGGATCATCTCATTATATCAGTGAAATTTCAGCTACTTAACAGTATGAATAGCATAAATTGCAGAGGTTCCAAAGAAAACTGCATTAAATGGATCCAGTAGTACTGCCAACAAGAGAGCTATGTTTAAGCAACCAAAAGTTAGAAGAATCACTGACCAGGAATTGCTGGATGCAAATATCCAAAACAACGACGGCCAACACCAAGCCTTCTCTTAAGATCCAGAAGGTTGCTAATAGGATGCACGGCCTACAAATGATGTTGAAGATTATGCACAGCAAGATAGACAAGCGATGCAAAGAAACCCACGTGGGGAAGTACCTCATAAGCAACAATTTTCTCCAACAGAGAAGCAGGATCATCCCAAGTAATTTGATGAAGCTCTAAGGTAGCAGGACTAAGCCACGTACTCAGTTTTTCCTTTAAATATGAATCCAGCGCTCTCAGAGATGAAATATTTTCCTCTCTATACCATTGAATATGTGAAGTATCAAATTGAAACTTTCAGGAAAGAAAAGCTAAAATTTTGTCGTCTTTTTCTTAATTTTCTCCCAATGAAGCAAGTTATAACCTGTATGCACTCAATTTAAGACATCCCAAAATTTATTTTAAGGACCTCATACAAGAATCACAGTGCAAAGGCTTGTAGAACAATCAAGATAAATTCTCTGATATTGAATTTACTGAAAGTTAAAGGAAGTAATAAGTAATTGAAGATTTCTATATCTGCTGCCGCTTTCATTACAAGAATCACATTAAACAAACATGCACAATTTCCAATAAGAGTAAGGCTGTGAAACATTTATAATCTATTATCATGTATGTGTGGAGACGCATGTCCAATTATTCAACAAGACTCGTTCAAACGAGAAGTGTCCCAAAAATTAACTAAATACCACAAAAATCCAATAAGTAAAATATGGCACATGGGTCATAACCTTACGTGAGAATGGATAAGATATCAGAACGAAGAATGGATAAAAATCTCAGCCCTCCAGGGTGAGTGTTGAGACGGTCAAAGAGAATTTCATAAAGTGGCCTTAGTGCATGCCTCAAATTCCGTTCAATGCGGTAGAAAGAAGAAAATAAGCCCTCTTCAGAGAAATTCCCTTGAGCTTTATCCACTGAGACCATAATATTCCAATCAAATGTCTACAAGCATTCATAAGTTACAATGCAAATAGCTTGCTGTATAAATCCACCAAAATCTCACCACTAGGAAGTTCAAGTCCAAGATACTGTTTTATTAGTTCACGAACATGTACCCTGTTCAGATCATATTCTCTGGCAAGCACAAGCAGCAACTTCCGGCGGTTTTCAATATAGAGATTAGCATAACCCTACATTGTTATCAGATCATCAGAGTCAAACAAACGTTGATAACATCGGAATAAAATTGCAATCTTTTACTGATTTACTAAACGCTACCTCAGAGAAATTATCAAGTGCCGTATCTAGATCTTCTGTTTTGCTCATGGAAATCGCGGAATGCATTGATGTGCGCACAAGTTCAAATTCTCTAAAAGCAAATGAAAATGACAGGCAAGAAATCAGCTACAAAAGCATTGCATTAAAAATGTTGTCCTCGTATGAAAATTCTAAGTGTTTCAAACTATGAACCTCTCACAATTGCCAGCGTCATCAGTACGCATTTTACTCTCTGAATCATGTCGAATAGCATGTCCAGCGGACTGGTTTTCCGGGGAATTCTGCTTCATTTGGTTCAAATCTCTCTGTTGCGCATAAAATACAAGGAAAATTGAATTCGAAGGTACGTCATAAAAAATGAAATCAAATTCTTGAGCCGAAACGATTTAATAGAGACTCTAATACACCTTGAATCAGAATAAAGTAAAAGAATTCGACGCTAATCAACACAATTGTCGGAATTAGGAGAGGGAACTTACAGCCAGAGGGGAGAGAGAAGGGTTGATGGAATTATTTGATCTCATTCTGGCACGCATGAGAATAGCCAAAGCTTTCTTGTTCATATTTATCAACGGAATCAAATTATCGGTAGAATCGAGCTTTCGCATCCAGTGTTCTTGCTTGTTCTTTCATCCTTTCACCGCAACCACCCTTTCCTCATTTTCTTTTGGGGAAAATGACATTACATGACCCGACAAAAGCATTATTTATATTTAAGGACTATAAAAAATAACAATCTCACAAAATAACCCAAGCTTTGTAATTGACAGACTGTAGCTGTATGGAGAATGGAGATCAACTGAATTCAAAAATAAAACCGACTAAATTTAAATTAAAAGATATAATATTAAATATTAAATATTAAAAAAATTAAAAAATTAAATCAATTTAATTGTCAAATCTGTTAATGCTTCGACATAATTGCATTGCTTTAGTCTAAATTAAAAAAAATTAAATATCCAATAATAATCATCATGCCGTGGCAATCCTTGTGAACAATCTAACGGCTATATCACCGAAAGCTAGACACCTGTAACGGCTATAAATGAAACACCGATCAATTCCCATCTCAACGACTCTATTTCTCAACTCAATCGGTGCGGCGTCCATCCATCAAACGAGGTCCCATCGTCGGCGTTGGCAACGGCCTTCCATTATATCTTCAACCTCCGACCGGCCTCCATGTACCGCTCATCGTCTTCAACCTCTGGCAGGTTCGTTGCTCTTCGTCTTTCCCTTTCTCATCTTCATGGTTTCTCTTTCTCATTCCATTTCTCTTCTCTCTCAAACTGCAAGCTATGTTTCTTCAACTCTGGTGTGTTGTTGTTCTTGAAAATTTATTCAGTTTAATGTGAAAGGATTCTTGGTTGATAATATCGGACTCAGTAGTCAGTACACGTTCAAGATATTATTATAGAGAGAAAAATTAGCATAAATTTATCACTACTGTTTAATTGGCTAATAATATTATCAATTGAATTTGGTGACAGATCTAAAGAGAGGGATCTAATTAACTGATGAAATGAATTTTCTAGAGAAAGGGTGTTTGGATTCTTAATCTCAGGGTCGATTGCATAGAGTTTTTATATTTATTGAAGATTACATAAGTTAACTTTTTTTTTTTTAAGTTTTAAATCTCCAAAGACGGAATCTGATGATTTTATATTTTTAAATAATAAAATATATTAAAATAATTATTTTAAAATCAAATTTAAAGTTGTGCTTTTATAATTTTCAGGTTTTTTTTGAATAAAATGAAAGACGTTGTAGATTTTATATGCTTTTATAAAACGAAAAATCGCCTTTTATAATTTTCGCGTATATATTTTTCAAAAAATGAAAAGTAAAAAATATTTTTGTTCTAAAAGTTTCATAAACAAAGCATCAAAAGCAAACCGTAAAGCAAAGTTATTTCATATGTTAAAAGAAGTGATTAGTCTTTCATTTAGTTTTAGAACTTTTTTTTGAATTTACCATTATTTGTTAGGATTTATCATTATTTCTAATTACAATCAATTTTTGTTATTATTATTTTTTTATTTTTCTTATTATTTTACCATAAGTAGTTTTAGAGCTTTCATTTTAACAGCATGTAACTTTTTCTCTCTTGTTTTTCTCTCCTCTCTTCTTCTCTGGTCATATGTTTGTTTTATATCTATTGCTCTGCACCTATCAATGTTTTACATATGTTCTGCTTCTTCATATGCTTAAAGTTTTTTTTTTTTTTTGCATGAAACTAAAGTGGAGGTTAATTAAAAATACAAAAATTATCTAACTTGTGAGAGAGTTTTGCTAAGTAGTTAGCTACCCTAACATGTTCCTAACCCTTGTGCTTTTTAGCAAACTCAATTTTTGTGCACAATAACCTATCATCAATGATATTCCTAAATGGATATGTTGTTCATGATTCCCAAGAGTTTCGCAATGGACTAGCCATGTTTGGTTTCTTCATTGTCAAACAGCCTTGCACACCTGGAGAGCCAAATGGCCCAAATACCTAACAAGAATCTTTTTAGTGTAATCAACCACACCCCTTCATACTCCTTCAGCATGCAATCATACTCCTTCAGCATGTAGATCTATGTCAACAGAGCACACAACAAGTTATCAATCACTATTACCTTCAATTCAATAAGATATAACAAAGTGAGACATAAAATCCCAATAACAGACTTTAACAGACTTGGACTTTTCCTGGCAAAAGTATAATCCCAATGATGGAAACCAGGCGGCCTTTTCATTGGACTTTTCCTTATTGCGTTATTGCTTCGTAATAGAGATCCTGATAAAGATCCCATTCCACCAGGCGGCCTGTCTCAAAAGGATCTAGTCTTATATCTAGTCTTTATTTTAATTTTATTTTGTACTTATTTCAAATAGAGTATGTATATATTTTACAAATCTAGCCTGTTGTTAAGTGGGGTGTTCACGGGACGGATCGGGACGGGCCTGGGGTGTTCACGGGACGGATCGGGACCGGGACAGCCCGTCCCGGTTCCGTCCCGATGAACAGTAACGGGACAGATTTTTGTCCCGTGTCCCGGCCCGTCCCGGGGTTGTCCCGGTCCCGGTCGGGACGGATCCGGGACGTCCCGAAATAATTTTATTTTTATTTTATTTTTAATTTTTTTTAAAAAAAAATCTAATTTTTTTAATTATATTTTTTTGAGCTTAAATCTTATAAAAACATTTTTTTTATTTGTTTGGGCACTCTTAAACAAAAGCTCAAAATATTACATATAATAGTTATTAAAAACTCTAAACAAAAGCTTTTAACACAATAAAAACTTGCTAAAAATTCTAATCATCAATAATCTCAAATCATTAACAAATATAAAAACTCTAAATAAATATATCCATAGTTCCATACAATAGTCTCAAATCTTAAAAAAATATGAAAAAAATGATATTATATAAAAAATTAAAAAAATTAATTTTTTTTTTTTAAAAAACGGAACCGGGACGGGACCGAGACGGGACAACCCCTTTTTTGTCCCATCCCGGTTTGTCCCGCCCCGAAAAATTTTGGGACGGATCCGTCCCGTCCCAATAAGACCGGGACCGGAACGGGCCGGCCTTGAACACCCCTACTGTTAAGAATAAAGCTTGCCAAGCTTTACTGGGGTGCAAGAGGTGTCATGGGGCTTAGGCTTTGCCATTCTATTTAATAGCACCTTAAGATGGGCTTAGGCTTCGCCATTCTATTTAATAGCACCTTAAGAGGTTTTTTATCTCATTTCTAACCAAATTATTTTTTGTTGAATTACTTTTATTATTTTTAAATTTATTTTATTATTATATCCTTTATATTAGTAGCATATGTAGATTTAGGGTTAGAGTAGTAGCATATGTAGTTTTTAGAATAAAATTTAGGATTAGAAATTTTGTTTATTAATATGGTACTTAGCTCTAGGTTGCAGCCATTTTTTGCTTGTTTATCAATTCTATTTTGTTTATTAATATGCTCTAGGGTTTTTGCTTGTCAATTATTATTATTTTTAAATCAATTCTATTTTGTGTTTTTTAGGTCATTAAGTATGAGAAAGGAACAACTAAAGCATGTTTGAAGATGTCAACTAGAAAGAAGCAACAGTAGTTACAAAATGCCACATCAATAATAAAATTTGTAATATGACAATTACATTGTATTTGTGCTAAAATTGTTAGTAATTAAGCTAAGTACCATTGAGCATTCTACCTTATTGATACCACAGAAAAGGTTAGGTTAACTCTACTCCATTAGTACTACGTTTAGGAATCAACAACACGAAAACTTTGCTAGAGAAAGAATACCCCACCACCTTCTTATTGGGACTAAAAGGAATGGTTAAGACAACAAACATCAATCTCATTTATCTCATTCGTATCTCATTTATCTCATTCGTATTTTGGATACCCTGTATGTAACATCCTGAGTTTTATCGGGTTTTAATAGCTTCTTTTTGGTTGATTTTGAGGATAGATTAGTTATTTAATGTTGATCTTGGTGTTCGGGTTAGAATTGAGGTATATTGGAGGAATAGCTCAGGGTATGTTTGCCACGACGAAGTTTTACTCAAAACAATTGGTCAAAAACCTCAATTCCATAAACTCTAATTTCAAAACTCAAGAAAACTACACTGATTAAATACTTAGACTAACCCAAAGCAATTAATTAAACTCAAAACAATCGGTCAAAAACCTCAATTTCATAACAACATAGAAAACTCTAGGGTTTCACGATAAATCCTCAGAAATTCCAAGTAAGAAAGTAGATTAGAGGTTAAAATCACTTACTTGAGGTAATGGATCCTTAGAAATGCCTCCTCCAAGCCAAAAATTCGAAACCCTTTCGTTGCGGTGAACTTAATCTGACTTCGCCACAACGAAAGCTTCCCGAGAGGAAAACCTCGCTCACCTGAAGAACTTCGCCGCGACGTCCCTCTAATTTTGCCGCGACTAAACCTTCCCGAAAGAACACTCCCCCTGGACCTCCCGGAAGGATGGTACGGATACGTCAGACAGATCCAGCCGGTAACGAACAGCCTCAAGAGAATGAGGGGGATGATGACAGTAGTGGTAGATGAAAGATTGAGAAAATTTGAAGAAGATTTCACAAGGAAGCATCAAGATCAATCAAGAGGACCGAGAGAACGAGGTGACTATGGAGGCACAAGGAGAAGGAGAAAGGGGGTTTAGAAGGTGGTGATCGAGTTGGAGACTTACCTCAGAGGGAGGAGTATCGAGCAGTTAGCCAGGGAGGAGATACTTCAGAGGGAGTGATTTACCCTTCGCTACTGAATGACATTACTAAGGTATGGAGAGAGGTGCACCGTCATGATCCTCCACAGTTCAAGGGAAGTTTGGAACCGTCAGATGCAGAGAAGTGGATTGAGCGGATGGAGACAATCTTTATTGCTGTTCCTTGTCTTTCCCCGCTCAAGGTACAAGTGGCAGTCACTTATCTTGTGGAGCAAGGAAGGCATTGGTGGGATAGTGCAAGACCTTCTGATATATCTCAATTAGACTGGAATACCTTCAAGCGGATGTTCTATGATCATTTCTTTCCGAAGGAGTTGCGAATGGAAAAGCAATTCCTATTCCTTTAAGCTCATATAGAACACATGCACTACTTTTCTACTCAGAGCATCTGCTACCACATTAGCTTTTCCAGGATGATACTTAATCTCAAAGTCATAGTCCTTCAGGAATTCCATCCAACGACGCTGCCGGTTGTTCAACTCTTTCTGATCCACCAAATATTTCAAACTTTTATGGTCACTGAAAGACTTCAAACTGGGAGCCATACAGATAATGCCTCTAGATCTTTAGTGCAAAAACTACTGCCGCTAGATCCAAGTCATGGGTTGGGTAGTTTTCTTCATATGGCCTCAACTGCCTGGAATCGTATGCCACCACCTTATTGTTCTGCATTAGCACACAACCCAAACCCTTTAGTGACGCATCGATGTAAAGAACATACGGTACTCCAGGGATCGGAAGTGTAAGCACCGGAGCTGTAGTCAACCTGGTCTTTAGCTCTTGGAATGCTGATTCACATTTCTCGGTCCAAATAAACGGTTGATCCTTCTTGGTTAACTTAGTCAATGGCATTGTAATCTGAGAAAAGCCTTGGATGAATCTTCGATAGTAGCCAGCTAATCCCACAAAACTCCGCACCTCAGTTACCGATTTAGGGACTTCCCACTTAAGTACTGCGTCCACCTTGTTAGGATCCACTGCTACTCCCTGAGTTGACACTACATGACCCAAGAACTTCACTTCTTTTAACCAAAACTCACATTTTGACAGCTTAGCATACAATTGGTGGTCCCTCAAAATCCGTAGTGCAATGTAAAGATGCTCTCGATGTTCTTCCTCACTTCTAGAATACATCAGAATGTCATCAATGAACACTACCACAAATCTGTCCAAATAAGGTCGAAAGATCCGATTCATGTAGTCCATAAAGACAGCTGGAGCATTTGTTAGTCTAAAAGGCATCACCAAAAACTCATAGTGTCCATAACGAGTTCGAAAGGTTGTTTTTGAAATGTCCTCTGCTTGTACCCTTAACTGATGGTATCCTGATCTCAGATCAATTTTAGAGAAAACTGACGCTCCGACTAATTGGTCCAATAAGTCATCAATTCTAGGCAACGGGTACTTGTTCTTGATTGTGACCTTGTTTAATTGTCGATAGTCAATACACAGCCTCAAGCTACCATCTTTCTTCCTCACAAACAAAACCGGTGATCCCCACGGCGACACACTTGGTCGGACAAGTCCCTTTTCTAACAATTCTTCTAGATGCTTTTTCAATTCTACCAATTCTGAAGGAGACATTCTATAGGGAGCCTTTGAGATTGGGGTGGTTCCCGGAACCAATTCTATGGAGAACTCCACTTCCCGCTCTGGAGGTAGTCCTGCAACCTCGTCTGAAAACACCTCAGGGTAGTCCCTCACCACAGCTATCTGTTCAATTCCTCCTGCCTCATCCTCACTAATTGAAAAGAAGACAATGAAGGCCTGGCACCCTTTCCTCACTGCCTTCTCTACTTGAGCAGCTGACAACAAAACTGGACCACCTAACATTTCAGCACATAAGGCACCTACCGTAATCATCACCAACCAATTCATGCCAATAATCACGTCAATACCTTTTCAGAGGTAGACAAAACAAATCTATTGTAAAATCTCGATTCTCAAACTGAAGTGCAAGCTCTAGACACGTTCTTCCAGTTACGACAGTGGCTCCCGCAGGAGTAGACACTCTCAAATCATAAGGTAGCACAACCACAGGCAAACTCAACTTCTGAACACAGTCCACAGAAATAAAGGAGTGCGTAGCACCCGAGTCAAATAAAGCAGAAATAACATGCCCCTCAAGTAGAATGTTACCTCGAATCAAGTTTGGAGATGCAGAAGCCTCCTCATTTGTCTTGGCATAGACACGTCCCATAACAGTAGAACGGCCAGCTTGAGGTGTCGGTTGACTCTCTGGGCAGTTTCTGGCAATATGTCCCCACCGGTGGCATCGAAAGCACTCCCAGTATTGCCTCGCACGCCTACCCCTGCATCTGGGGCACGGTCCAGTAACACTCGAGGTGGTCACTGATGAGTCTCAACGGGAGCCCTGTCCCCCGCCAGTTTGATTGTTTAGATTCTGGCACCTTTGCATAAAGCCCCTCTGAGCGTTCGACCTCTGATTCTGCCCTTGATTCCTGTTTCTCCCTGAGCTACCCGAGCTCCCAGAGCTGTACTGACTTCTTTTCCCCACTCCTCCTGTAGGACCAGGATAACGGGCTGCTCTAGCTTGGTTCTCAGCCCTCCTTGCCTCTACCACCTCTCTCATCCTTCTAGCTGCAACCCGCAGCTTCACACACATCTCCTCAAAGGTATGTCTCTAACAGGACCAATTGCTGTTTCAACTCTGGCCTTGCAGGATTCATCAACTGTTGAGCTAGCCAAAACGAATGATCTTCTGTCTGCCTGGACACATACTTTGCCAAGTTTGTAAACCTTGTGATAAACTAATCCTCATGCATCTCTCCCTGCTTCAAGGAGTAGAACAGGAATTGCTTTTCCATTCGCAACTCCTTCAGAAAGAAATGATCATAGAACATCCGCTTGAAGGTATCCCAGTCTAATTGAGATATATCAAAAGGTCTTGCACTATCCCACCAATGCCTTCCTTGCTCCACAAGATAAGTGACTGCCACTTGTACCTTGAGCGGGGAAAGACAAGGAACAGCAGTAAAGATTGTCTCCATCCGCTCAATCCACTTCTCTGCATCTGACGGTTCCAAACTTCCCTTGAACTGTGGAGGATCATGACGGTGCACCTCTCTCCATACCTTGGTGATGTCATTCAGTAGCGGAGGGTAAATCACACCATCTGAAGTATCTCCTCCTTGGCTAACTGCTCAATACTCCTCCCTCTGAGGTAAGTCTCCAACTCGATCACCACCTCTAAACCCCCTTTCTCCTTCTCCTTATGCCTCCATAGTCACCTCGTTCTCTCAGTCCTCTTGATTGACCGACTCTTAATGCTTCCTTGTGAAATCTTCTTCAAATTTTCTCAATCTTTCATCTACCACTGCTGTCATCATCTCCCTCATTTGTCTCAAAAAGGCCTCATTCTCTTGAGGCGGTCCGTTACCGGCTAGATCTATCTGATGTGTCCGTACCATCCTTCCGGGAGTTCTAGGGGGAGTGTTCTTTCGGGAAGGTTTGGCCGCGGTGAAATCAGAGGGACGCCGCGGCGAAGTTGTTCAGGTGAGCAAGCTTTTCCTCTTGGAAGCTTTCGCCGCGACGAAGTCAAGTTTTCAAGCGAGTAATCCCTTTCGGGATTAGTTCGCCGCGGTGAAAGGGGTTGAACCTATATAGTCGCTGGAGGGGTCAGATGTGCGAAAATTAGAAAATCTGAAGGAAGAGAGAGAGGCTCTGCTAGGGTTTCGACTTTTTGGCTTGAAGGGGGTATTTCTAAGGATCCATTACCTCAAGTAAGTGATTTTAACCTCTGATTTACTTTCTTACTTGGAATTTCTGAGGATTTATGGTGAAACCCTAGAGTTTTCTATGTTGTTATGGAATTGAGATTTTTAACCGATTGTTTTGAGTTTAATTGATTGCTTTGGGTTAGTCTAAGTATTTAATCAGTGTAGTTTTCTTGGATTTGAAGAACTTTGAGTTTTGAAATTAGGGTTTATGGAAATGGGAGGTTTGTGATTGGGGATGATAATGTGGAAGTTGATTTTGAGTTTTGTGATTTGGGTCATGTTAAAAGGGTTAAATTGGATGTTTAATCGGTTTAAAATGTTGTAAAGACTTCTAATGTTCAAATGGGACGTTTGGGTGTTGGATTCCTATAGTGGGTCCTTGAGGTTATGAATTTTAATTGACGTTTGGAAAGCAATTAAGGTTTTAACGGATTTTTATGACTTTGGAGTGTTTACCTTGGTGGTTATACCCTTTTAAGTTGGGTAGAGTTTGGTTGGAGTTAGGAATTTTGTGTCCCTAAATGTTGTTTTGGCCACATTATTAGTTGAAAGCTAATACATGATGGTTGTGTGCTTGTGTAGACCGGTTATGAGCCTTGTTGGTGCACGGGGCTGTATTGTTGGTTTGTTATTCCTTGCTCAGGCGAGAGGTAACCACTTTCCAATCCTTTGTACATGTTTTTGTGGTATTGTGAGTGGATTTATGTTTTATGCTCCGAGTAACAACTGTGTTCAAAGTGTATGTTGTATATTGAAAAGGAAAACCGTCTTGTGGGGTTTAAATTGATATTGATTGAATCTGGAACTTGTGAAAGATAGGCCACTGAAAGAAGTTAATTGTGAAATGATCATTTACTCTTTAATTACGGTTTGAGCATAATGCATTAATTGGAAATTGGTGAGAGTTTTGATTGTTACTACCACGTGGTAAGGCCTCCATTAATGCATGATGGTTGGCTCTTTACGTCCCCCATAGTGAGGGATAGGCCTTTTGACTCCTTACATCCCCCATAGTGAGGGATAGGTCGGGTTCGGCTTTTGAAAATCTCCCAAAGTGAGGGATATGGTTGATAGAATTGCATCATTGCACTTGCATGACTTGTTGTGGCTATTTATCATATTACTTGTGAACTGCCCCACTTGACACCTCACGAGCACCTATTTAGTAGTACCTTGAATTGGAAAAGTTGGTTACTGGGACGTTTGTCTCACCTCGTGGTTTACAATGTTTTCAGGTGAAGGTTCTAGGCGTGTGTCATCGGGAAGAGATGCAGAGGCTTAAGCTTGGTTAGCTTTAGGCCTCTAGCCCTTGTATATGTATAGCTAGTTGTATATTGCCACATTTAGGACCCCTTTTGAAATATTTTAATTACCCAGCCTTATTGTAAACTGGAGAGAATGTTATCTCCTTATTTTGGTTGGCCGGAGGCCATTTCTAGTGTCTTATGAAACTCTGATTTATTTTGTTGGAAACCATTTGAATGGGCTGATGTGATGTCTTTTGTTACCCAGGCCTGAGGCTCGAAGGCCCAGTGGATGTAAATGAACGATTTTAGTTGCATGCAACGGAGTTCGAGTTTGAACCGAGTTTAAATGTTAATTTCAACAATTATGCAAATTTCTTTCTACTATGGTAGTTTGTTGTAACAGCTTACTTTTTCTACCATAGTAGTGATTTTATGACGAGTTTATAGGGTTTTGAGATTAAGGTTTTTACACTGTAGGTTTAAAGACTATAGAAATGACTAATTATGCAAGAGAAGAAAATAATAAATCCTAATAAAAATATAAATCAAGAGTTATTGAGCATTCTACCTTTGTAAATTGCTTTGATACCACAAAAAAAAGAAGAAGAGAAAAATAATATACGCAAGAAAAGCAATATAAATCAAATCATACTAACAAAATAAAGCCCGTGATCTTTATCAGCCAATGCAAACTTGTGATATTTTACAATTTTTTTGTCTCTTTATTGTTATAAGCAAGCATGTGAAGATAATAAAATTACAAGCATGTGAAGATGAAATTAAAACTTCAAAAGAGTTTAACAATATTTTTTTAGTAGGCTGATATATATTTTCACATATGACAAAGATTCTTCTATCTCATGAAAACTCTCAAAAGTCAAGGATGACTCTTTTTCAAGAGGGCATAGGAAAGACAATTTTATAATTCAACTTCTACGAAACACTTATTTTTATTTTTATGTATAAAATATTAGTTAAGCTTAGTTTACCAACCACTATGCAAGTTCTTTTATCTTTAAATAAAGCTAGTGATCTTTATGATGTATTGCCAATGCAAACTTATTATATTTTACAACCTTTTTGTCTCTTCATTGTTATAACAAGCATGTGAAGATTAAATTAAAACTTCAAGAGAGTTTAACAATATTTTTTCTAGTAGGTTGTTTTATATTTTCACATATAACAAAGATTCTTCTATCCCATAAAAACGAGGTCAAGGATCACTCTTTTTCAAAAGGAGGAATACTGATAGGAAAGACAATTTTATAATTCAACTTCCAAGAAACACATATTTTTATTTTTATGCATAAAATATTACTTTAAGTATATGAACTTCTAAATAGAGTCTCAAGGATATTATTTTATATCATGTTATTATATATCCTTGATTTAAAATTTCAACAGATTGCATATCTTTAGAATACTTTTTAATTTTTAGGGAAATTTGTCTCTTTAAAAGTGTTACTCAATTATTTTGGGAGATTGAAAGTTATGAATAAGAATTTGCTTGTGTTTTATGTTTGAAATATAATATGATTTTGTTGTAAAATTTGATCAACTTTTTGTGAAGTTTTCTTATAACTTAAAGATAGACACTAGTTCCTCTAGGATTTTAGTTAATCAACTTGTATTATTTCCAAATCTCATTTTATTTTGTATTTTTCAAATTCCTAGAGAAATCCATATATTAATGAGCTCAACAAGTTAAAGAATAAGATAGTTTGACTTTATTTAGATGTGAATGAAGAGATCATTGCAAACAAAGTTCCATCAAAACATTTTAGTTGCCTCTTGGTTGTCTCGTTACCAAATGACACATGGAAAAGAACCCATTTTGCTGCTTGGGTTTCTCTATCGATCACCCAACAGTGTCACATACCCCTCTCCTATGTCAAACATGTTTCATATTCCTTTAGGATGCCTTTAGCTTTATGATCTTGCCAACATAAATGCATACTAAATTCTTGTTATCATCTCTAAGTTTGCTACCCTACCTACGTTAATAGATGGTAATTTACCTAGTAGTGACTCTTAAGCAAGTTTAAGGACATTGTCGTCTCTAAGGTTCAATCCCTATGATTTTCTTATCCTCTCAATACTCCCAGGGAAGATGGCTCCTGGAGAATGTGTGTAGATAACTGAGCCATCAACAAAATAATTGTCAAGTATTTGACTTTATGAATAGTTTAGTTATGCCTTCCAGTTTAACAAATAAATGTTACAACCTACTTCAGAAACTTCTTATAAAATTAAGTCATCTTTCTCTGATTCATTATTTCTAAACAAGGTCGATTTTTTGATCTTGTCAAGGTTTAAGCCATTCAAGAGTAACCAGAACTACAATCATTGTAAGCCATTCAAGCTGTCACAGATTAGCATCCTTCTATCGACAGTTTATATATGGCACTGTCATCTAACCATTGATTGTTTGAAGAATGATAAGCTTAGTTGGATCCCTACTACCTCTCAAGCTATCCAAATCATAAAGGACAAGCTATCATGTGCCTCTGTGCACATGTTACCTGATTGTAATAAATGCTAGGTTACTTGTGATGCCTTAAGTGTAGGAATTGGAAGTTTCATTGGCCAGCCATCCTATAGCCTTTTTTAGTTTGAACCTCAATGACACAAAGCAGAAG